ACTAAAATTAAGTGTATAAAGTTATATTAAAATTTTAAATCTGGATCTGAGTTATATCAGAGTTCTTTGGGGTCCTGTGCTACCCCACTGTAGTTGGACCAAAAGATAGAAATTCTATGATTAATATAGCAAAATTTCTTGTACTATCTAAATATTATTTGTACACAAATACTGTAAAAATATTTTCAAAATTTAACTTTTTAAATGTTGTAATTAGAGTTGTGAACTGTGAATTACACTATATATAAATAAACTGTAGTTTATTTTAAAACTACAATTTTACAATAAACTACAGTTTATTTATATTAACTAACACAGGTCGAATGAATGCAAATCGGGCATTATATTTTAGCTATTATATCTTAATTTAATATATTATATTTTTGTAAATGCCTCTAGCTCTTCTATAAAAAATTGCTCATCCTATAAAGTAATATATAAATTGAAGTAGTAGATATGATTTTATGAATATTTGAATATATACTTACCATGGGAAGTCCAAGTGAGTACAAGTCTAATCCCGATATGAAACAGATATTTAGTGGAAATAGGAGACCTTTAGGATACTAATCGGGTTCATATAGGCGTTCAATACATATTGGGATGCCAATATACTTGCTGGCAAAACCCAAATAATTGCTATTTGTAAATGATTAAATCAAAAAATAGTCTTAATATTTTGTAAATATATTATTTATAGCAATAAAAATATCTACTGTTTGTTTAAACAAAAATTATTAATAAAGTTTTTGAGAAATTAATTTGGGATGAATTTGGGATTTGGGTGTGGACAAATCCCAAATATAGTAATTTGGGATTTTGCCAACATGTATAGATGCCGATAGCTCAATTGGTAAATCGATAAAGCTATTAGGGAAGCTTTATCGATTTACCTATAGAGCTATCGACATCCCGATATATATTGAACGCCTATTTAGTATCCTAAAGGTCTCTATTTCCACCAAATATCTGTTTCAAATAAGGTTCATATCGGGATTACTGCCGGTTGGAGCCCGATTTGCCTTCATTCGACTTGTGTAATAGTTTACGGATCGCACCTCTAGTTGTAATGTTTGTATTTTTTTAAATCTAATACATCATTATTGTGAATAAATATACTGTCAGAAAAAATAGAAAATAAAAGGATACTAAAAGAGGCACACGTGATACTTGAGGAATACGTGAATATAGAAGTGGTGTCAGTAAAAGCTTTTGCTTAATTCAACAGGTAATAAATAAGGTTTTGCTTGATTTATAATATTATGGGAAAGCTAGTATAGTAAAAATAAAAAATTAAAACTGTCGACCATTAAATTATATAGGACAAAACTTAATGAACATAATTGAAAAGCTAGTTCCGGGAGCTTGTTTATTTATGATTTCAATACAACATAATCGCTTTATGTACATAGGATCAGGTAAATAATTTAAGAAGTTTTTGCATATACACATAGTTGTTTTTAATTTACATATTTAGGAAGTTTTAATATAGCTAGTCGAGATTATTTGAAAAAGGATGCTATAAACTTGAATCATTTGCAGAATTGGTTCTAAATTGGTCCTAAGTTGTACCCTCAAAATTATTCACAAAATTATCAAAATTTTGTAGCAAATTATTTAAGGGGTAAATAGATACAATAACAGTGTTATTGTATCTATTTACTCCTTAAATTATCTTTATATGTACGTACGTATATTTGTTTGCTACAAAAGTTGGGTTCATTTTGCGAATAACTTTAAGGATACAACTTAGGATCAATTCAGGTCGAATTCCGAAAATCCGCCGATATGTGACTTATTATTGTTACATAATTTCAAAACGGCTCTTATATTTTGTCCGGGTATATTGTTAGATGAAGAAAATCTATATGCAACTAAATAAACAGAAGATCGGCTTAGTAAAGCGAAGAGGGTATGAGACTATGTAACTATGTAGTATTGAATAATGTAGATAATCGATTTGAGATCGAGCATGTGCTTGTGATAAGTTTAATGATAATTAAGAAAGTTAATTTAGAGAAAATAATGTAATGTATATAATGTAATGTAGAATATAAAAAAAGAAAAAAAAGAAATGGTTTTCATTTTAGAAGATACATAGGTATAAGCAAAGGTGAAAATCGATATATATACTATTAAAATATCATCTAGAGAGATCTGCCTTAGTACTATTAACTTTATAATGACCTTTATTGTTTAGCCTCGAGACAGTTGATCAATAATTTTTAATTAACACGATAATGTGTCGGTATTTTTCATGAATGATATGTGTCATGAGTCATGTAAGTCATGTGTCATATAATAATATGACAAAATGACTTATTACCATATGCCATATGATATAATTACATTATTATTTGTTGAATGACCTTATGACATTGTCATTTGCCAACACTGGTGAAATGGGGCATCTGAATCAGGGACTGTCAAAAATTTGGATATAAAATCGTAAATCTCTATTTGGATATTGATTAATATTTGGGTAAAATTTGGATAAAAAATTTAAAAATTTGGAAAATTTTGCTTTATTATTTTCATTGATTAAATTCATGTGCACGGCTATAGGCAGTGGTTTTTTTTTAGTAGAGCTCATCTTTTTTTATTATTTGTGTGTTCAACATAATTTTCATATACAATATATATTCACAAGAACAACTTTTACATCGTATTCATTGATTTAATTTTCAGGGATCTTTTTTTGATAGATTGTAACACAAACTTTTGCCATTAAGTAATGTGAATAACAAACGAAACATTCAATAAAAAATATTTTCTTGGTCTTTATATAAGATAAATAAACAATAAATATTAAAAAAAACAGCTATACTAAGCTGTAAAAGAAAACGTTTGGGCATTTTCGGGTAGTGAAGGATTGGTTTGGTCATTGAATGATTGGTTGAATAATGGGTAAGGGTAAATTCGGAAACAAGTTTTCATACCTTCGGCTAATAATCAAACATGTAAATATTAAAATATTCTATATACTTTATTATGAATTCGAAGTTAAAAAATCCGTTTTTGTAATAACTCACTATAATAAATTTTAGCAACAAATAATTCTTAAACCAAATCGGTGGATATGTGTACGTGTTCAAAAATAAACCATTGAATTATTTGAGTTACACACTCTCTGATTGGTTGAACGTAGGTTCCAGATCACATGAATTCTAAAATCGACCAAAATTTGGATATCATTTGGATATTTGTGGGCCAAAATTTGAAAAAATTTGGACTAGAGGTCAAATTTGGAAAAATTTGGGCTAAAGGCCGAAATTTGGAAAATTTTGGATCCAAATTTTTGACAGTCCCTGATTTAGAATTCATTGTAGATCATCACGTGAAATTTACTGTCCCTAAGAAATCCTCCTAATACTCCAATAATAATTTCATGTTGCGATATCGAAGCAGTTTTAAAAAATCAAAACCCATCTAAAGATCAAGCAATTTACAAATTTAAATAAATTTGCCATAAACATACTAAACATAGTATCGTTTAATAAAATCCCGCTAATGCTAATAATTCATACTAAACAATGGCTTCTGCATTTTGATTGGTCAATTTGGTAGAATCACATTAATTTTTTGACGCCCCCAGTTTAGTTTCTGCGTTCTAATTTGAAAATTCAATCTAAAAATATATATCGTAATAATTGTAGTTAAAGAAGCGGAATTAATATGGAAATATGCAAATAAATAATCAGCGTTCAAATATGCTAATTTGTAAATGTATTATAAAAATATATATATTATATTATGCTTTTTAGAAATCACAACCTAAAACAGTAACGAGATTCTAGAAAATTAACAGAGCCAGTATTATCCTTATATTTGCCACGATTTTTGAATTTCCTGTAATCTTGTGATCTAATTAGAGGTACGGTAAAAACTGTTGCGGCTTATGAAGTAACTAGTTACGACATAAGCTTTAACTAAGCCGTCAATTACCCGGGTGACCCGCGGATTCCCACCGGGTGACCCGGGTCACGCTTTTTTGGACGGTTCAACCTCTAGACCCGTCAGATTTGTCCCTTAATATCGATTTTTTCAAATTTCTTACTGCAGGCTTCTATAGATTTTTGCGCGTTCTTGGTATCTAATGTGTTGTCAGCTAAAATATAAATAGATGAATTGTGTTCGTTCAAAAATTGGTAACATTCTTCCATATCATTGAAAGCCAATTCTGTTCGTATGAACTCCATTTCCAAAGTAGGACGAAAACTGTGTAAAAAATTATTTAATATGATTTTTTAAAAAGTAGTAGTTTTTTATGAAGAGATTTTGTACTTACGCTTTGCATAAAGTCTGTAAAGCAGCGATTCTTTCTCTTTCAATGAAATGATCCATAAGATAAGCTCCCATATTAGGTGCCTTTAAGTATAATTGGAAGAATTTATGGAAATTTGATGTAGCCAGAGTGGATCGCACCTCTAATGCATGCTTAATCGCTTCGTCATTCTTCATTTCATCCGTAAGTTCAGCGATTAATGCGTTGATGTCTATTAAACAGAGAAATAAAATATTTATAAGCTAATTAATAAAAAAGATAACCATAAATAAATAAAATAAAATAAAATAAAATAAAAATACCTGAACGATTTCTCGTATACAGGAAGTAAAGGAGTCGATACGCCATAAACTCCATGACTGAACCTGGAATATTCAATCTATAAAGCTCCTTTAGTTGTGTTTGACATTGATTGTACTCACCCAAATCGCTCTGTTGTAAAATATACCTCAATTAAATTGAAACATATAAAAATTTATAAATTTTAAATAAATAACATAAACCTTTTCGAGTGCAATACGAGCGTGTGTCTCATATACTTTTACAGTGAATTCAGTTTTAATGTGTTGAACCTTGGGACATTAGATGTATTTTCATTAGAGACAACAGATATTATAAAATTAAATAAGGTAGAACAATTGACCAACCGTTAGATCTTGACGCAATGATTTGAATTGATCGCAAATATAAGTATAATTTTGATCTTCGACCCATTTTGTTTTTAAAAATTCTAAAGTCTGTTTCAGTATGCGTAAAGGCCTAACAGTTGATGGATCAGGTGCCTTACAATGAAATATAAGATTTAGTATAGCGAATTGAGTATCATAAGACAAAGCATAAAAAAAAAATTTATAATAAGAATATTGGTACAATGTCACATGTATTTATATACACACAGAAGTCAGGCGTAAATATGACTTTTCCAGCTTTTGACAGGTTCCGACAATCGTTTGATCCACATCAATCTCATCTAATTGCTGTAAAAAGAAATAATGACAATAATAATAATAATGATAATAATACCAACTAAAGTTCAAAAATATTCACGAAAAAAGAACCACACAAAAAATTTGCAAAGACCGACTTACTTGAACAGGAGGTTCCCAACGAGGTCTATTAATTCTTTCATGCTCTTGGAAACGTTTAGCTCGCTTTTCTCTTTTTTGAGATTCGCTGCATTCATCACTATCAAATGAATATCGATCAGAAGGTGATTGATTAAAAGATAAAAAGCTAAAACCATATATAATATGGAAATAGAGGCATATTAATTTTATATTGCCTGCACAATACTAGCCGGCACAAAAGGAATGACCGATTTACTTACTTTCTTCGTTTTTCATTTTCTCGAAATAAACTAAAAATGATATAAAAATGAGATTATTTAGAAATATGTATTAAAAAATAACAATAAAACCAAAGATTAACGGAAGAATAACCTTGATGATCTACAGCTTTGTGGTAAATCCATTTTCGACCAGTCCGTTTCGTACAATAAGCCTTCAGACATTTTATTGGAAATTATGATTTTCAATTCCCTCTCAACAGCATCTATATTATGTTGTGCTTCATTAAAACTTCGTTGAACATATTCCCTAATAAAAACATATTCTGAATAAATAACGTCCATTTGTTATGAACAATAAATTTGATCTGAAATTTTACTTTAAACTCAAAGGCCATTCTTTCGCAGCAGCAGGTTGTTTTCTATTTAATGGAATGAGAGAAAAATTGCTATTACCATTATAATAGTCTTTAGTTTATTAAACTTATATTTCATAATTACACTCACTGTGATTTTTGGTTTGAGCTTTGTTGATCTGTGGTCGTACTTTCTGGTTCCGGGCTTTCTAGTGGGTTATTTTTAATCAAGGTTTTGTTTTGCTGGATTTTAATTTGACGATAAAGCGGTTCTGAAAGTAAAAAAGTTGGTGTCAAAGGAAATTTCAGTACATGAATATAAATAATGACTTATTAGCTTACTCGGTTTTTGATCATCATTGTTGGTCCCATTATTGGCACTAGGATTGACTTGTAAGTTCGCAAATCCGGAGGTTGTTTGTTGAACTTCTGAGGACTTTCCTTCATTTACAATGTTATTTTGTACAGCATTGACAGTGTTTGTTCCAGACTCGGGTAGTGGAGCAATAGAACTACAAGCGCATTAATTTAAAACAGATCAAAAAAAGATGCCTTTAAAATGCTTCATACGTACAATGATGGGTTATTTTGGGTGAGATTACTAGCTTCAAGTACTGGAGCTGCTGCATAAGTAGGATACGTTCCAGAGGCTGCGCCAGTTGCCGGATAATATGGTTGATAATAGACATTGGGGTCAAATGAAGTTGTATTATAGGCGGTTGTTTGATAGGGCATCGTAGTTGATATCGGTGCAGAATACCATGAAGAGCTAGAAGTTACTCCGGGAGGATTGGGTTGAAAATTAGATGTTACTTGCGGCGGTGGTGTTACTCCTGGAGGATAAGTAGCAGTTGGGAGTGCAGTTGTAGAGGTTGGATATGGATATGTGTAAGATGTTTGATACTGAGCGTAAGATTGAGTAGAGCCTGGTGCTGCATATGAAAAACTAGAATAATCTGAAGCTTGGGTTCCTGGAGGTACAAGATATTGCTGCTGATTTTGATCGTAAGCATATGCCCTTGATAGAAATAGTGTGTTATTAAATAGCAAACCTTTAAAACCGAAAAAAATAAAAAAATACCATGACTGAGTATAATGTGGATTTTCTCCCATTTTCTTGAGCTTTCAGAAAGTTTAAAATCAGATCTGTTTATAATGTTCTGACTTGATAACAGATAAATGAACTTATTACGGATTTTTAACAACAAATCACGTGAATTGACCTGATTGGATATATGTAGCCTTTTCGGGTTTAATGAAAAACTTGTTATAATTAATTGAAGCACGAACAGGGTTAAATGATCTTTCGAAGACAAAAATTCTTTGCGTTAACCGGGATCACTTTCCTGATGACTATCGATATAATATGCTGAATCTTGATGAAGCTTAATCTTGATGCATTTACTAATTCAAGTCCATTTTTTGTGCAACAATTTGTGGCTACAGTCAAAAATTCACGTTAGCGAAAATTTCCAGTTTTCGTAATTTTCATTATGCATAAAAATTTTTGATCCAATCATATGAGTGACTACTGAGATTAAAAGTGATATTTTATCAATACTTATCGTTGTATATGGGTAGATAATTTACGAGCACTTATCAGTACGTACGTACGTATGCACTTAGTAATTTAGACCATCACATTTAATTTTAATAATCACAATGTTCTGAATATTACAAGCTGGATTTTTTTGGATTTTTTAAAGCATATATAGCAGTGTTGTCCACTGGACGTCTAGATTTTTCCAGCCTTCCAGTACTGGAACGAATACATATCAACCAATCAAAATGCGGGACTATAACATTTATATTATATATCAATATCAACCAATCAAAAGCAAACATTACATATTTATGCAATATCAACCAATCAAAGAACAAACATTACATATTTATGTAGTAAATTTGTTTATTTAAATAATTCTTTTAAAATATTACATACAATATGTAGCAATCAAATTTAAACAAAGCTGTGTTACTTATTTTGGGTGTAATAAGATTGAAGGAGATAGGATTTCACATTTTGTACTACTGCCAAATATCAGATAGGCTATACAGTATTTGTTTTTTTTTTTTTTTGTTTTTTTTTTTTTTTTATACTTTGGCTAAGTCTTGCTATGACCAACTATCCCTACTAACCACCCTCTACAGGGGGGTGACTACAAATCAAGTATTTCTACCATTATGAGTACATTTGGAATAGGCCTGACTCTACCCAGTTGCCTATTCAGGTACCTAGGACCAACTGTCTGCACCATCTTTCGAAAAGATTGGATCACCTTATTATTGCACTGGACTTTCACCAGCCAATTCAGTATCACCACGAGTTCTTGTAGTATCTTTATCAGACTTGGCCTCACATTATGTCTCATGACTTCGGTTATTTCAAATCGGGGTTCTAACATGGCTTGCTTTACAGCTACAACTTCTCAGAATAACTATTCCTTGAATACATCTATCTGTAGATATCCCGGGTTCCCTGTACCTCGCGGTGTTTTACTTCTATTTTCAAATTTTCATTAATTCACCATTGGGAGGAATTAAATCGGCAACTATCCGATTTGCAACCTGGGAGTATAACCACTATGCTATCGACCCACAGGTTAACTATACAGTATTTGAATTACCATCTGGCAAGAGAATAAAATATGTTGTTTTAGTAACTTACCTGCAGCAAGAAAACTTTATAAGCTAAGATTGCATGTTATTATTGCTATAAAAAAGCTAATTATGATATTTAGAACCATTCATATTTTGGTGATATTTCTAATATAGATTTCTAGTTTGTCAAATATAACTACAATCTTATTTAAAACAATGCAATAAATTAAAAAAATTGTAGAATTGCTGATTAAAGAAAACAGCATGTTTTTAATACTCTTGTCAGATAGTTAAAAATTTATAGGCTTTTATACTTCAACTCTGTTAGATTTTTGGTAGTGGACTCAATGCATTGCCTCTTTTTGGAAATAGTAAAATAAATCATCAAATTATGAATTGAAGATGGCTAGTTAACTTCTTAAAAGTTAGAAACTATGCAACTATTAGCAAACAAAATTGATGTACTATCAGGCATTAGTAGAATTCTTTGCAAAATCTCTACTAGAGAAGGGTTTTCAAGATTCATAGCAGATTAATAAAAGACTTTTTTCTTTATATATGCTACTACAATTTGTTAGAATCTACTTTGTAATATTAATAAAAAGCTTCTTACTTATTTTGTTCAATATTAGTATAAATAAAAAGGATTTAAAAGAAGCTTATTAATGTCTAATAGCTATGATAAAAATTATTAAAGATACCAAATTTTCATTTAAGCCTTTATATATATGAATACACTAGTGTTCTGAAAATCCGGATCTGACGGATTCGGATTATCATCCGATCCGAACCGTGGGATCAGATTGGGCCTAATAAATCTGGATTGATCCCCGGATTGAATTATAAATACAGAAATAAATTTGTATAACGATAATATAACTCTTTTAACTATAGCCAAATTCGACAAATTTTTTGTTTAATATGAATTCTACAAATCCATAATAAAAAGATGCTATAGGCTTATATTAAAATGTTTTTTCAGCTAAAATGTTTTTTTTATTTTAACTACTTTCTATTACAGTAGTTCAACTTTTTTAGTCCAACCAGGTCATTTTGGTCTGATATATTAACCAGATCATTTTGTTAATTTTGGCTAATTTGGCATGTCGAATCATGTTCAATTTAATTACTTTAATAATGCTTAGGTACATTCTGGTATGTTGAATTAGATTCAAATTTCTTATTATAGTGGGTTACTCAGAATGCTGAAATATATTCAACTTGCTTATCTAGTAGGGCTACACTTTTTTTTATTAGGTCCAATCCAGTATTCCAGTCGAGTTATTCCAGTTGGGTCTTTCTTTGCTGTCGTGTTTTTACATATTTCACTGAGTGGCTAACTTGGTATGTTGATTTAGATTCGACTTTGATAATTCTAGTTGTTATTACTGAATCATACTTATGATAATTGAATTACATTCTGATCAAGTTATTTAGTTAGATCTTTCTTTCTATGGTGTTTTTACGTGTTTTACCGGGTGGCTAACTTGGTATGTTGATTTAGGTTCGACTTTGATAATTCTAGTTGTTTTTACTAAATCATACTTATGATAATCAAATTATATTTCGGTTGTGTTATTCAGCCGGGTCTTTTTTTGCTGTGGTGTTTTTACATATTCTATCGGGTGGCTAATTTGGTATATTGATTTAGGTTCGACTTTGATAATTCTAGTTGTTATTACTGAATTATACTTATGATAATAAATTACATTTTGATCAAGTTATTTAGTCGGGTCTTTCTTTGCTGTGGTGTTTTTATATATTCCATCGGGTGGCTAACTTGGTATGTTGATTTAGGTTCGACTTTAATAATTCTAGTTGTTATTACTGAATCATACTTATGATAATTGAATTATATTCTGATCAAGTTATTTAGTCGGGTCTTTTTTTCTATGGTGTTTTTACATGTTTTACTGGGTGGCTAACTTGGTATGTTGATTTAGGTTCGACTTTAATAATTCTAGTTGTTTTTACTGAATTATACTTATGATAATCGAATTACATTTTGGTCGTGTTATTCAGCCGGGTCTTTTTTTGCTATAGTGTTTTTACTTATTCCACCGGGTGGCTAATTTGGTATGTTGATTTAGGTTCGACTTTAATAATTCTAGTTGTTATTACTGAATTATATTTATGATAATCAAATTACATTCTGATCAAGTTATTCAGTCGGGTCTTTCTTTGCTGTGGTGTTTTTATATATTCCACCAGGTGGCTAACTTGGTATGTTGATTTAGGTTCGACTTTGATAATTCTAGTTATTATTACTGAATCATACTTATGATAATCGAATTATATTCCGGTCGAGTTATTCAGTTGGGTCTTTCTTTCTATGGTGTTTTTATGTGTTTTACCGGGTGGGTAACTTGGTGTGTTGATTTAGGTTCGACTTTGATTATTCCGGTCATGTTTGCTGAATCTTACTTATGATAATTGAATTACATTTCAGTCGAGTTATTCAGTCGGGTCTTTCTTTCTATAGTGTTTTTATGTGTTTTACCAGGTGGCTAACTTGGTATGTTGATTTAGGTTCAACTTTGATAATTCTAGTTATTTTTACTGAATTATACTTATGATAATCGAATTACATTTCGGTCGAGTTATTCAGTCGGGTATTTTTTGCTATGGTGTTTTTACGTGTTCCACCGGGTGGCTAACTTGGTATGTTGATTTAGGTTCGACTTTGATAATTCTAGTCATGTTTACTGAATCATACTTATGATAATCGAAT